GGCCTTGATGATCAATGGTCGCATCGACCGCACCAACTGGGCATTCATCCGCCGTGCTGGTCGCAGCGTACTTGGGTCCACAGTGGCCTACCGGGGTTTAGGGTTTAGGGTCTACCCCCCCGCCCCCCCCTGAGTTCCCCCCTTAAGAAACATTAATGAGGCTTAATGATCCCTAAATGGTCTTCAGTATGGGGGTGGGGGTTCTAGCGGGGGGTAGTATAGAGAGGGGTAAACCCTAAACCCTAAACCCTAAACCCTAGGGGGTAGTATAGAGAGGGGTAAACCCTAAACCCTAAACCCTAAACTCTAAACCCTAAATAGTAGGGGAACCCACGACCTTGGCTCCACCGAGTGAGGCCCAGGGAAGTTGGCTTTTTGTTGTCGGCATATGCCACCTGTCAAGGGCTGTTGAACTGAGTAGCTGAGTGAGCACACTTTATACACTTTTTGGGATACTCTAATCCCCTCTAGAAATGAAAGTGTACACCTTTTTTTTTAGGGGGGGGGGGCTTATGAACTCAGCAAACCCTAAGCCCGAAACCCTAAACCCTAAACCCTAACCCTAAACCCTAAACCCTAAACCTGTTGAAACACAGCACGACCTCAGCGCCCATAGCTCACGAAGTCCCCAGGTACAGCCCCCGCTTGAAGCCAGTTGGTCCAACGCCCTGCATCTCGTGAATGCGCCGATCGGCTGCACATGAATACGGTATAGGGCTTAGGGTTCGTAGGGTTTAGGGTTTAGGGTTCAGGATTTAGGGTTAGGGTTTAGGGACCCTACCTGAGCCAGAAACCCTGAATCCCTCATGCTTGGCGGGTACAAACTTTCTGGTTCTGAGTACGGAATTAGGGAAGTAGCATTATATCCCCCGATATGACCCTTGAAGGCATTCTACAGGGTACCTAGTTCCTCCATTGCTTACGAAGAACACGCAAGCATAGGAGGTGAGGTTTGACCATGGGGCGTGTCGTCACTTCTTTCCTTGCGTACAGCTTGAGCTTGTTTGGGTGAATTTGGGTGGGGGCGGGGGTACCCCGAATATTTTCTCAAAATAGTCTGATCCTAATTCTAGGAACCTTCCTTAAAGGGGCGCTCGCAGATTTTGGGAATCTCGTGCTTATGGAAAGCAGTGTGCAGATCGTGCTTGTGATGGACTTCTCGAGTGCCTGAGGTATGTCAGTGGGAGACAGATGAGTGCCGACATGTTCCACGCGGTATTCCAGCCTTTGGCGTCGCAGTCCTCTTCTGCGACATGCTGTGACTACATGGGTGAGGGCTGGAGATATCTCATGGACTACACCAACTGCTGCTAAGGTGGCTGAGAGGTGACTGCAGAGCACCCACCCTATAACCGTTGAATTTCACCTTTGGCAAGGGCCACCGGTTCGTGTGCTGAGCACCCGAGCTGGTTAGGCTCTAGGCTTCTCCGACTTGCTCTCATCAGGGTACAGGTCATGACTGGGCTATCGTTAATTAAGGAACTTGAGCTCCGATACAGTAAGACGGATACTACAGTATGTACTACAGAACACCATTGTAAAGTCCCTTAAGCAAGAACGCGGCACAAGGGTTGAAGTGCCCGACACAGAGAGGGTCTAGAGGAAGGGCCGATGTATGTGGGCAACGTAGTCCTTGTTGAACTCTGGAGAGTTGCTAGCGGCTTATAGGGTTTAGGTTTTAGAGTTTAGGGCTTGCAGTTTAGGGAACTGCGCTGGACCCTAAAATTAGCAGTCGGAGGTCAGCATCCACCACGACTTTTGTTCGTGTCCCTTTGCGCCTCATGTTCCGGTGGCTGCTAGCCCCGAACTTGAAGCACCAGACAGGCCGGGGGTGTAGTGTTCAGGGTTTAGGGCGTAGGGTTGAGGGCTTCGAAAATTCTCAAAAGTTTAACCTTGCACCTTCAAGGAGGGTTAAGACACCCAACAGGTTTTTTGTTTACTTGCACGGCTGGCCGGCAGTGTGCCTATTCATCTTTTTGGGCTGCGAGATTCCCTTCTGAAACCTCCTTAGGCCACACAAAAGGGCAACCCTTTCATCCCAGGAGGTTGGACTACCCAGTTTGTAGCGCTCCTGCAGTCTGCTAAGTCTCAAGGTTGGGGTTCAGGGCTTAGGGTTTTAGGTGTTACGGCCCAAATCCTAAACCCTAAACCCTAAACCCTAAACCTAAACCCTTAGGGTCTAGGGTTCAGGACTATCTAAACCTGATCCCCTTGGTTCGTATGCCATGGGTCCGAATCCGAAGTCCGTAATCCCTTGAAACCCTGGAAACCCCATAAACCCGATAAAGCCTGTAAACCCTAGAAGCCCTAAGGGTAGTTCCATGCTCCCTCCGTATGTGCCCTTAAAACGGGGACCCCTTATGCACCCCCTAAACCCTAAACCCTAAACCCTAAACCCTAAACCACTTATATACCCTGCAGAATTTCAGGGCCCATACTTCAGAGTCCTTCAAAGAAAGCACGGGACCATACTAAGGGACCATGTAAGCTAGAGAAACGCGATAAAGCCTTACATAAACTCTAGAAACCCGATAGCTAGGCCCAAACGCCTTTTCACACTCTAAGATCCATCCGTCGCACAGCTTGCAAAGATTTTCTAGGGCCCATTTGAGAGTGGCCAGTTTCCCCTCTGTATCCCCTTCAGGGTTTTGTAGGGTTTAGGGTTTTTGGGCTTTGATTTAGCCTTATCGTGCCTTTGCCTAAGTTTCCATGTACCTGATAAGGGTACACTTAGGCCTTATGACACTCACTATTGCATGGCTCTGGGCCCAACGCATACTATTTAGGAATATGGGCCCTTATACGGCTTAATACACCTCAAATAGAAGGGGTTTAGGGTTTAGGGTTTTGAGTTTAGAGTTTAAGGGCTTAGGGTTTAGGGGTTTGAGTTTAGGTTTTAGGGTTTAGGGAAACTCCACTTTTAGAGTTGTCCTTTCTTGGCGGTGTTTCAGGCGTGTGCCTCCGCGATGGAGTCGGCTCACCCACCTCTTTCGGGAGGGGTCCCAAGAAGCCAAGCCCTAAACCCGAAACCCTAAGCCCTAAACCCTAAACCCTAAAGCTTAGCCCCTAAACGCTTTCCTTACTGGGACCCTTGCATGATGACAGGGTATGTACAGAGATTTTTACGACGTCTCCATGAAGAAGGAGGACTGTCTCCGGAAGAGCGCATGTGCTGGCTTTACGCACGTGCGCGACTTCTCGGACCTCGACCAAGCATTGTGCCAGCACCCTGCCTGACCTACACCAACCCCCCAAACCGATCCAAACCGGAGGTTCATGTTTCGTTTCAATGGTTACATTAAACTCTTCAACGTCGCTGAAGTACTGCAAATCACCGACATGTCGCACTAGCAATCACAAGTTGCGATATCGAAAGCAATGGCGACAATCATGCGACGCCCGCAAGAAAGGAAACCACCTAGACGCTGCAACTCTGAACCCCAAACTCTGAACCCCAAGCCCTGAGCCCTAAATCCTAAACCCTTTTATAACTTGAACACACAATTGGCTTTCTTCTTTGATACAAGAAATTCCCATCGAGATGCAGCGACTGACCATCAGATCAAACGCATTGCCGTTTCGTGACTGTTGTTCAGGGTGGTTTAGGTTTCGAATCCAGGGTTTAGGGCATAAGCCTTGAGAGTTGGTGTTTCAGGGTTGAGGGGTTAAGGATCTTGGTGTAACCCTAAACCCTAAACCCTAAACCCTAAACCCTAAACCGTAAGCCCTAAACCCTAAGCCCTGTTCGTGCAAAGGGCGGTAGCGCAGGGCGGTCGACTCTTCGACTTCTCTGCAGCGAATTCCTAACAACCGAATTCAGGAGCCCACATGATCTCCTTACGGACTGGGTAGGTAACCCTTAACCTCTTCGGTTATATAGACTCCTACTATATATATATATATATGTGTGTGTGTGTGTATACACATATAAAGGGTTAAGGTTGTTTTGGGCTAGGGTATTCTGCCTGCAAGTAATCTTACCTATCTCTACATCGTCAAAGCCTCCCAAACATCCATTCTATCAAGATAGACTTCTATGTTGCATCCACCCGTTGCACCCAATCGAGGCCCCCTCATCATACTTGAGGCCTTCCTTTTTAATCCGAGAGTCAGAGGGCTGTTTTGGAGGTTTAGGGTTTAGGGTTTAGTGTTTAGGGTCTTGTGGTGGCTTTGTGACTCTCCCTCCCCTGCTGCTGGAACCTGCCAGGCATTCAAGCCGTGGACAGGATTTCTGTATCTTTGGACTCTATAACCGTAAACCCTATGCCTATACCCTAGACCATGCTGCTTTGCATCCTGCTGATACGCCAGACTGCCTTACAGCTTGCCTAGGACCCCGATTAGGCCTGGATTCTCTTGTTGTTTAGGGTGTGGTGCCTCTACAAGCCCACCCTGATTCTGCAGTAACCTTCAAGTAACCCTACTTATATCCCCGCTTCTAACTACCCATGAACCTCTAAGTACATGAAGACCCCGATGTACAACTTATGAGGCGTTTGCAGATGAGGACCATGTGCTTTCATCATGTCGGAACGCCTACATATAGTATATGAAGGACAGGTCCTTCAATTCAGGGGTATTGGAGTCTCTGGGGCGAAGGGCTTTCTGGCCTGTCTCTATAAAGCCTCATGGTTTTGGGTTTCGGGTTTATGGCCCTGAAGCCTCAAAGTTCTTTAGTTTTGGAGAGCTTGCAGACTGTTCCAGCAGCGGGGGATGTAGCCTTTGAAGACGACAGCCATCTCCTCTCGTAGAGAGTTTTTGGCTGCGCGAAGATTTCCAAAGACCACTCTGAGCATGGGAAAAGACGCCAGTGCCGCTGGCAGTGACGCTTAGAAAACCCAATAGCTAACGAATAGCTGAGTCTCCCTGACCCTAAACCCTCAACCCTGAACACTGAACCCTAAACCCTAAACCCTAAACCCCTAAACCCTAAACCCCTACACCCTAAACCCCTAAACCCTGAACCCCTGGAACCAGAAACCAGTCTTCCTGCATTCCAGGAGGTGTTCGAAATCATGAAGCGCAGCTACGAGAGAATTGGTTCTGGCACCCCGCCCCTGTGCCGCAAGGGCTTAGGGTTTAGGGTTTAGGGTTTAGGGTTTAGGGTTTAAAGCATTCCCATGCAGCCTCCCAAGGATGGCTCAGGCCTGGGGGGCTAAAGGAACCCTCAACGGGTTTCTGGTCCACGGACCTTCATAGGGTTTAGGGTTTAGGGTTTAGGGTTAGGGTTTAGGGTTTAGGGTTTAGGGTTTAGGGTTTAGGGTTTAGGGTTTACATGTTTAGGGTTTACATGTTTAGGGTTTAGGGTTTAGGGTTTCAGTAGTACTTGTTGGCCCAGTGGTACCCTTTTCCCTTTTTTTGGGTTCAAGGTTCCCTTATAAAGTAACTATTCCAGAAAAGGGTGCCCTTACTATAAGATGGCTACTCGGCTACTAGGTAGTATAGGGTTTTGTATGGTCAGTTCTCTAAAATATAGTCCCCTTTTTGGGCACCCTAAAGAAGACTTTGAAGAGAGGGCCTCCTTTGAAAAAGGACCCTAGCAGGGGGTCAGATTTTAGAGAAGTGACCATATGACCCCACTGGCTCTTCGCTTTGTGCGACAATTTGCCCTAAACCCTAAACCTTCACCCCTAACCCTAAATCCGTAGTCACTACCGAGAGGGCCAACCCCCCCCCCCCCCCCCCATACCATCTAACTCAAGTTCTATGGGCTTAGGGTTTCAGGGGTTTTGGGGTTTAGGGGTTTAGGATGGGGGCTCCGGAGAAGCTCGTGAGGACTACAGTCTGTTGAGCCCGTATTCGGGTGCCCTTCTGTTGGGAACCATGACCTAAACGGTAAACCCTAAGCTCTAAACCCTACACCCTAAACCCTAAACCCTAAACCCTAACCCCCTTCCCCCCCTAACCCCCAAACCCCAAACCCCCTAACACAACCTAAAAGCTCTCCGGGAACCCCAAACATCGGCAGCCCGCATGAGGTATGATCTTTGGGCTCCTGACTGCCCTGCATTTCAGCTGATCAGCTTCCATGTCCAAGGCCCTTTCGGGCTTCTGTAAGAGGGGGGGGGGGGGTTTTGGGTTTTGGGTTTTGGGTTTTGGGTTTTGGGTTTTGGGTTTTGGGTTTTGGGTTTTTGGGTGTAGGGTTTAGGGTTTAGGGTTTAGGGTTTAGGGCTACTTGAGGGGTCGGAATAGTTACTTTAATATTCTTCTATATAGAAAAAACATGTCTGTACACATATATATATATATATATGTATATATATATACCAAATTGACCCCCAAACCCTATTCAAATTATGAAGGCCCCATGCGTAAGAACCCCACCAAAAACAGACTAACCCCTATATTACTCTTACAAGGAAGAGAGAGAGAGAGAGAGAGAGAGATATATATATATTATTTTTTTTTTGGGGGGGGGGTTGCTTCTTGAGCAAATGGTAGCTACAGAAGTTGAGACGCCCGGCCCTGAGGACGCGGACGATTTCAGGTGCTCGGAACTCTGGACCTGGCCACTTGGCAGGTTCAGGGTCTCAGGTGTGGGGTTTAGGGTTTAGGGTTTAGGGTTTAGGGTTTAGGGTTTAGGGTTCAGGGTTTCGGGATCGGCTTCAAGAGCCGCAAAAGCCGACTCTTTTCGCAGGTTCGCCTGAGGAAAAGCCATAGCATTCTTGCACGCTCAGTAGATTATGAGATTTTGGGCTTGGGATGTTCCCCCTTATACGAACCTTAGGACGGATTATAGTACGCCTTATTGTGATCCCTCTTAGAGAGTGTCAGTGTTGGTGTAAGGGAGAACATCCCAATTTGGGGCTCTTATGATTTGGCTTCTTAATTCTTCTGGAACGTTTTCGAGCCTGACTTCTAGAAGTTGGGGTTTTCAGGGTTTGGGGTTTAGGGTTTTGGGTTTTCAGGGTTTTCAGGGAGGGTTTTTTTTTTTTTTTTTTTTTTTCCTGGGGTTCGGGGTACCTTGAACTCTTTGAACTACCGAGGCAGTGTTTTGAAAGGAGGCGACGCAGAAATATAGGGGTCGGAATGATTGCCAATAGTATTTATTCCCTTATGGTCTTTTTGTATTTACACTACAATAGCCCCCAAGACCCTATTGCAATTATTCAGGCCCCTATATTAACCAGTTTGCAAGGTGGTTCGACCTTTCTGAGGGTGGCGCATCATGCCATTTGAGTTTGGAGGCTTCTCATTCGGAGGTTTTAGTCTGCCTTATTGTGGGGCTTGGAGTACTATGATGTGCGCCCAAGCAAGTGAAGTCTTCGTGTCGGGATCGACGCGCTTCCATGTAGGATCCCTACATATTGACATATGAGGCCTCTTGCAGTGGATCACAGCCCGAGTACGGACCATGGTCGCGTGATCATATAGCTGCTCTTTTGAACTTGCGGCAGCTTCTGTCCAGACATTCTTAAAAGGAGACTTGCCACCTCATCCCAAGTCGAATCCAGAAAGATTTTTCAACATCCATGTCTTTTAGATCTGTTGCTACCAGCCTGCATGTTGCTACTGTAAACTGCTGCTGCAGGATTTCTGGCATATCTTGGCCGACGGGGAGCTCGCACCAAAACCCTCCGCCTTGTCTTGTCTGCACCCAGAAATGCACGTGCCTCGGCTGTTTAGGGTTTAGGGTTTAGGGTTTCGGGTTTCGGGTTTCGGGTTTAGGGTTGGACTCTGATGTGGATATCATTCGATTTGCATTATCCACAGCCGTAAACGTCACAAAAGCCATTCGGCTGCGTGAATCAACCCCGTACCCTATTTTAAACTGACAGAGGCTGTGTCCCACGCAGTAGGAGTCGCTAGCTTCCTGGTAAAGGGACCCTGATTTGGAGCATCGCCTGTATACAGATTGCGGTTGCAGGCTTCGCCTCCGAGTTGAACCGCCCTCAGAAGAGGGATGTAAGCCCTGTTCCACGTCACACACATACCCTGACCGGGACATCCATGGTTACTAAAGGAGCCCATATTCCCTATATACAATGCAATTTAGAATATGAACTCGACGTGCTGCTTGCAGTCCTCAGGTTCGATATCTTCTCGTCAAGGTGCCTCGTCAGGGTTTTGGATTCAGGGGTTTGGCCCAGGGTTCTGCATACTCAGGATCAGATTTCCTGCTCCCGGAAGGTTCTGCCAGGTATTTTTGCAGAGTTGGATGCTGTGGGCGCTTGTCTTTTTTTGCTAAGGTCCAAGCGTCACAGCGTTCTTTTACCACCCTAAGGCTCTTGGGCCCTCAAACCGCTTAGGAATTGAGACCCCAGAGCCCTCCTTAGGAGGCACCAATCCCTCTGTAGGAGGGTCCTTGGAGCCTTCGGGCAGAAAACGGCCCAAGAAGCTCCCTCCCCAGAAGGTGGGTTTGGACTGTTGCGTGAGGGTTGCTTCCGACGTCTACGTTTTTATCATGGAATGGTCCACTACGGGCTAGGGGTTGCCCTCAACCCTAAACCCTAAACCCTAACCCAAAGGGTCCGTGTGGTGCCCAAGGGAGCACATTGTTTATTTCATCTGAGCGGCCACTTGTTGCTATTCACTGACATGGGTTTTGGGGTCGGTGAAAGACTTCTGTTTTATTTCTGCGATGTTAACCTTAAAAATGTTTAGATTCGTTGCTTGAAATCTGGGTTGCCTGTGTCTCACCTGTGTTGTTGTTTAAGAACAACAAAACCTGGAGAACCTTAAGTATGCATGCTTTTAAGGATTAAAAGAATAATAACATTTTCTATGTTTTCCGTGTTGACAGGGGTCGATGGGAAGGGGGGAGAAAGGGAGAGGGGGGTAGGGGGGGGGGGGGCAGGGCGGGCCCTAAATGTAAACATAGGCCAACAGTGGCCCAGATGATGTTCTAGTGAACGAGGGGATTATTTGCTGGAAGTCTGGGGTGATCGCCTCCGATTTGTGTGCTGAATTTCTTGAAAGAAGCCAGGGAAATGTTTGGGTTTTCTGTTTTTTGAATTGTGGCGGTTATGTTTGCTTGGGGCGGCTTGTGTCTGCTTCGGTCATGCTAGGCATCACACCCGTGTCAGGATCGACCCGAAACATTGAGTGTGAGTTGGGCCCGCTCGAGTCTTCGGTGTGTTGTTTGTGTTTGTGCAGAAGACCTGCTGGCTCCAAATGTTTGCTCAAACAGGCGCAGCTGTCATGCCACATCGAACGAACAGCTGGGGTTTTGCAGCTCAGCTTGAGACATTAATGTGGAGGGTAGAAGCTACGACTAACAGAGTTTGTGTAAAAAAAAGTTGCACGCATATCGCACATGGGCTCTAGCCACACGCATGGGTCTTATTATGCTGTTTCAGGGCGTGCTGCAGTTCGGGTCGGCTGTGCATAAATTCGCTGCATTTTTGCAATTGTGGTCAATGCCGGGCTTCTATGGCATCCTTCACCACGTGAACAAGAAGCGTCGCGAAGGTGCCTCCCACCCCCTGTATGCTCTGCACATGTGTGGCCATTCAAGTTGCAAGCTGTGGCAATTAATGTGACGATTGTGTGTGTGTGTGTGTCAAAACTGTGGCAAATGTGGCTTGCAGCGCTAGTGTCTTTGCCCTAGGCCAGCAGCTGTGGGAATCTTAAGCTTGCAACCTTGCTGAAGGGTCGAGTTTTCCAAGGTGTGCTGTGCAGCTGTTGCTGGTACCGGCCGGCTGTGTAGGGGGTTGTTGCTGGCTTTTTAGCTAGCTGTGTGCCAGCCATGCCGGCTGCGAGTAAAGTGAAGGCTTCACATGAGGGCTCGGGGGCCCCGGCTACGTTCCAGCAGATGGATGCAGAGATGGTTGTAGATGGCAAGCATGTGTCGGGCAAGCAAGTCCTCCGACCCGTGCGCTTCTTTGTGTCGGTTTCTTGCTTCATATAGTTTATAAGAGAATCGACTGCTGTCGCCCTGGCCTAGGCCTGCCCCTTTCCGGTAAACTCCTGCAAAGCTGATTGCTGAGGAGGCAGCCCTGAGGATTGTGGACACCATCAGGCCAGTTGTGGAAAACCGGCTGTCAGAGCTGCGGCAGCAGGAGGAGCTGGGTAGCAGATTGTATACAGGTTTTTGTTTCCCTCCAAACTTTTGCATTTCGTGCACATGTGTGTGCATGCCATGTGCATATGTCTATATGTGTATGTGCACACATATACATGTGCGAAGATGTGCCATGTGTGTGACATTAAGGACAAGCCCATTCTCACCCTGTACGAGGTGAAGATTGGAGAACCGGATCTGATCGACGCCCAGAACTATGAGGTGATGAAACTTTACACTGTGAGCCTCCTTAAAGGGGTGGTTCTGCCAAACCCCGAGCTCATCTCGGCCAAGGAACATCATGTTAGGGCCTCAAAGCCAGAAGATGTTTTGCGGCTGGCTCACCAGGGCATTTCTCTGTCGAGCAAATCAAAATTTGTGTGTAAACAAGGCAGCGCTGCTGTACGTGGGGGTGCTGTATGGACTGTGGTCCAACGCGTATGTCACTACCAAGGGCAACAAGGGCAAGCTGCGTGTCGGGCGGGCAGTACAGCTTGTGCGAAAGAGGGTTTCTGAAGTTGCGTGGCATTGAATGGGCTAGATCTGCCAGGAATGGTCAAAATTACAGGGCACGCGTCTCAGATGGCTGGCGTCGTACTTGTGCAGCACAATACACAGAACGCCGTATGCCAGGACATGTGCTTCTGGGTGCAAACGCTCGATGCATAAGTCCAATATCAATATATAAATGCAGAGCAGGACACCAAAAGTGGCTGTGCTCAAAGCTCTGTTCTTCCAAGTGAATGGGAAGCCGGTCCCGACACGTTCAAAGAGCTCAAGCTCACTATCCAGCGAGGCAGGTCTGGACAGCAATCGGGTTGCGGTGTGCCCACAAACGATCCATCGACTACTGGTTCTTATAGTGGGAATGATGGCATTAATGCCTTTTAAATATTTTGTATATATGTCCCCTATATAATCCCCTAAAGTCGCTATTATATATATATATATATATATATATATATAGCTATGGCGATATCAGGTACCTAATTCCCTCATTCCCACTATAAGAATTCTTGGTTTCCGAGGGGTGGTGGCTGATCAGGCTTGCAAATTGAATCCACATGTGCAATTTCGGCTGGGCAGGCTTCTTTGTCACAGCCGTCAGAGATGGGGTCCTTGGCAGAGGACTTGGAGGAATTCCTGCATTCCTGGACCCGGCCCATTAGCTAGGCCTTGTACGGTGGAACCTTGGAAGGATGCTGGCGCTGAGTTGGAAGTCTTGAGCGCCGATGGGGATCCGGATGAAGACGAGGCTGTGCTGGTGAACGTAATTTTACAGTAACACGACATCATTCCGGATTGTGTGCAGCAGCCAGGCTGCCTGAAGTTGCAAGCCAGGTCATGGAACTTGAGGTTTGAGTACTAGTGCTTGGCCCCAGGTACTTGAGGTGGAGATGGATGTGGCCGAGGATGAAGTCAAGGCTGCTAGGGCACGTTTAAGAGTTTTCAACTTTGGCTTATAATATGCATATAGGCATCGATTGGTTGCAGTCGCCAGGCTTGCTGCGAAGGTGGAAGCCAGGTCCTGGACCCTGAGGTGCAAACTACTAAAGTTCTTGCTGGTCTGAGGTTGCAAGCCCGCGTTCGTCTGAGGTTGCAAGCCCGCGTCCGCGTGCTGGGTTTGTAGAGGCGTTGCTGGAGCACAATTCCTGGTGAGCTACGCGTGATATTAAGTATGATATCGATAGCAGTCCAGGTCCTTTCAGATTCTGAAGAGCGGCCGTGCCCGCCCAACCCTGCAACTTGCATTATTTCAAGAGCTTGTCCCGCTATATGCTTGCATCTAATAAGCGGTTCATGTAGTGATGATGTTTGGTGTTGAGAGATCGCTTAAGGCCTGCGGGCCTGCGCCTGACAATGTGAACTCGGAGGCAAAGGAGGGGTCGGGACGGTGGAGGGGGGGGGGGGGGTATTTAACCCCTAAACCCTAAACTAACCGGATATACCCTAAACCCGGCCCGAAACCCTAAAATATTTTTCTGAAAACTGCAATATATATTGGGATAATGTGTAGCTAGCATTCTTACAACATAAGCAGTCTTGCTCTCTGTTGTCCGCACAACCCCAAATCGAGCCCTTAAAATGCACACGATTGCTGCACCCTTGTCGGAAATGTGGCACAGGTGCCGGCTGCCCTGCCAGAGGATTGATGCTCGGAATGAGTCTGCTGGTGAGGGATGCTTGGCATGCCCTGCGGGTGCAGAACAATCTGCTGCAAGAATTTTATGGCAGGAGCCAGTCATCCCTCGCGTGTTGGAGCCTGATTTGGCCTGGGCCTGAGATACCCTAAACCCTAGCGACTAAACCCTAAACCCTAAACCCTAAACCCTAAACCCTAAACCCTAAACCCTAAACCCTAAACCCTAAACCCTAAACCCTAAACCCTAAACCCTAACTAGTGCTTAGATTCTCATGGATCAGATCAGGTTCAGCCCCGTGGTGTAGTTCGTGAAGGTTTAGGGTTGGGGCTGGTCGAGGCCAAGACATTATAATATGATGGATCTGGAGGGGAGAATTCCTGCACTTAAGTCCCAAAGTAATTCCTTGCAACGTTGAAACCTTAAAGGTAACCAACCCGGCCTAGATGAAGTGATGTTACGTTACCTGAGCCAAGGCTGCGGTTGACCAGCTGCCCGGTGATCTCGCCAGTGTTCCTCACTCCAGTGGACAGGGCCCAGAGGCACGGCTACTATCTGCAAAGCTTTAGATACATTGATGGATCTATTTAAACCCTCTAAACCCTGGCCCTTAGATGCATCGGGTCGCAAATATAATGTAAATGTGAGGCCCTTAAAGCCTACGGATTCGATTCCGGCTTCTTCTAGTTCCTTGAATGTCCCCCCACAATATTTCTGTCATTCCCACAAAATTCAAGTAGAGTTGGTCAGCAATAGTATTTGTTGAGGCCAATCTGTTTAATGCCTCATGTTCGTTGTAATTTCGATTCCGGCACCGACTGTGGCTGTGGAGGTGACACACGCCAAGCTGTTTAAACATCAGCAATTAAAGCGTCCCTTGCTCTCCAAGCGTTTATGTGTGCTGAGG